GCATTAAAAAGTTTAGGAGGGTGTAGAAAAAAAACCAAACCACATCTGGAAAATTGCAGACACAATTTTTGAGGGTGATGCGTGAGAAAACATTTCTGATGTAAATCGCGCCGCTCCAATAATCCACACGCGGAAGCGAACCAGTTTAAGCAAAGCAGTGTTTCTGGGTATTTCTTTTAATATCACTGCGACAATAACTTTTTAGAAAATTTCAAAAGATATGATTGTATTCTATAACTATTAAGCTTTCAGAAAATGTATAGGTTGATGGGGTTTTCTTTCAAAGCGCCAGCTTAAGAGCACAATTTCCAAACACTGTCAATCCACCTACCACGATACCTTAAAGGGTAAAGTTCGAAACGCATCGAAAAATATTTGGAAACCATTATTTGTGTTTAATTTAAGTTAGAATTCTAATAAAACAATTAGATTATTTGCTCTCGATTTCTATGACATGATAGTTGATTCATCCTTCAGCCTCATCAACTATCACCTCATAGAAATCTCGAGCTCATAATCTAATTGTTAATTAGAGTGTAGTGGCTGTCAGTCATCTATGAAATGGCGACTTTCTTTTGTATTCCCGGTGTTTTGGAAGAACGTCGAAATGCAAATGAATTAAATTCCTGAGAAGACTAAAACAAGGGCATTTATGGTTTCTTAACTTTAAAAAACTATAAATTATTGAAAAACACAGGTGCACACACGTAGACAACTGCAAATTTCCAATGACAGTTTAGTCTGTGCGATTTTGTTCAAGTGTAAAGTTTAATAATGTGTGGAAAGATAATTGGAAACTATTATTTTCATTTATTTCAGTTAGAATTCTCCTAAAACAATTAGATTATTTGCTCTCGATTTCTATGAGGTGATAGTTGGTTCGTCCTTTGGCCTCATCAAAGACTCAAAGAAAGCATATCTGCTGTGGATCCACTCGGCTATCACCTCATGGATCCACAGTTACTTGACAATGTTATGAGGAAATCCACGATCAACAACAGGACAGACGCATGAAAAACTGACATCAATTTGTTAAATTGATATGTCATTTTTGGCTGCATAATCAATGAATTTGTATTTCCTCTTATAGAGTGGTTTTCAATTTGAGTGTTAAAAGTAATGAGGTAATTTAATGGTTTAGGTTTTACTACAGTTTAAGATTGGCTGAGTAGTCTAACTGTAAAGTAATATTGTTTTGGTTTTGGTTTTATGACACTCCATTGACAACTGCTCTAAGCTTATAATAGTTAACTAATTGTTAGGGTTATTTAATTGTTTATCCACAATATTAAGTAGTTCTGAAACTGAAAAACTCTTGTAGGGAGTTGCAATAAAGTATTTATGCATGAATGCATGCATGCATGCATGTATGAATGTATGCAGGTATGGCATTACAAGTCAAGAGACATTGACAGGCCATTACAAGGTCATCATTAAGATCATTTTCTGGACAAGAATGCTATTGTTGTCATTAAAATTTTTTTTGTCACTTATCCGTATTATAACAAACATGCATTGACAAAATAGATCATACCAGTAGGTCTAGTTACTTTGTGTTTCTTTCTCCTACACAGGGTAGCGCTTTTAGAGTATTTTTGTCCTAAACAGGGTCAGGATTTCAAACTCTTGGCGGCACCCCTATACCCAAACATGGGTCAAGTTGTCCCTCCGGGAGGTGTGTATGCATGTATGTACTCCTAACCAGTTGTAGAAGCTGTCGAACGAGTAAGCTTATAAACATTGGTAATCCAGATCCAGAATGATCCGTGACATGGTAAACAGTTCAAAATTTATAAATAATAATAATACAGTGCTGAAATAACCTCAGTTATATTAATATAGCAGATGTTTCGGGCCAAACCCCTCCTTAGTGCTAAGCTTAGTTTTGAATGGCACACGTCATTGACAAAATACTCAGTTACACGCGACTCTGACGGATAAGGCGGGTGAAAGCGCGTCAAGCTGTTTAAAAATAAAATCCACGTTTTGTAAGCTTAATTATAGTCTATCTTTTAAGTTTTGTAACAGGTAAGAATATAAAAGGATACTAGTATATAAACACATTGGTCAGTAATTACAGATATTCGATCATCTAAAGACCATGATATGCCTCCGGGATATGATGGTAAGCAGCTCAGTTTTATGGTCTCTAATGTCTTTAGTTCCCGAGCTTCGCAATCGTCCGCCATCTTACGGTTCAAAGCTAACCTCCATCCCAGGCTCTCTCTTCTCGTCTTCCACACCCGCAGCCTTGGCCGGGCAGCCTCAGGTGACAGGTCTCAAAAACCGCTGATTGGCTGGGGACTTTTTTTAAGGACGCGTGCGCAGAACGTTGACCGCTGACTTACTGCGGGGATTGGAAGCGCGATCGAGTGGCCATTGAACGGTAGTTTGTGTGAACTGCGCTTGATTGTGTTCTTTTCACCACAAGTTGGTGCTTTTTCCTTGGCCAGTTTGTCAGTATACTTGCACTTTTATCAATGGTTATTTATGAAGAAAGACTGGGTTGTCGAGGATGAGCATAAAATCAATGGATTGCAGTTGATGTTTGCCGACAACGACGATGTTAGCCT